TAACAAATTGAATTAACACAATCCGAATGACCATCCAATTTGGCTCTTTATTATCCTGTCTTAACCTTACAAAATGTGAATGACCATCTAATTTGGCTTTTTATTATCCTGTCTTAACATCCCATAAACGAATAGAGTTATCATCACTACCAGATGCTAATGTAGTACCATCAGGAGAGTAACAAATTGTTCTTACAGAATGTGAATGACCATCTAATTTGGCTTTTTATTATCCTGTCTTAACATCCCATAAACGGATAGAGATTCGTATTCCGGCCGTAGGGTAGAGGACCCTACTATATTCGGGATGCTAATACCGCACCGATTTTGGTGAATGAAAAAACTATGCAGGTACCGCACCGATATTGGTGAATGAAAAAACTATGCAGGTACCGTACCGATATTGGTGAATGAAAAAACTATGCAGGGACCGTACCGATATTTGTGAATGAAAAAACTATGCAGGTACTGTACCGATTTTGGTGAATGAAAAACTATTTCGGTTCCACCCTTATTCTATGAATTGAGAATTTCGGAAATGAGCTATAAATTTAATTTCGGTTTCTTTATGGACAATAAATACCATAAGTAAAACTAACATCTTCAAAATTGATTTCTAAAAGCTGACCGATATTTACTGCATCCAATATCAATAGGTCTTTCTTAAATTTTTGATTGAATTTAGTTGGCATTTTAACTTGCAGCATAAAGTGTCTATTTCTTCATTTCTTCAATGTATTTGGTTTATTTCTCAAGAGTTGATTCTGAAAATGATAATATATTATATGATCAATATTAATCAATTTTCATCGTTTTTATAATTCCATTTCATTCTCTAAAATGATACTTCCTCTTTATTGAAAGAATGTCCTCAAGTTGATGCTCGATTGATTACTAAATTCTCCTCTCAAAATTAGAGCTCCTTAAGATTAAAATATAAGCTATTGCGATATTAGAAGAATAGTGATAATCGATGAAACTAAATAATAATAGATAATTAATACCATTATTTTCAATCATGTCGTTGTTAAAAATTGGAGTTTAAAATTATGCTAAAATGTTTTTATATCGATTGTCTGACGAGACGATTACAAAATATAAAACCCTTCCCAAAGAAAGTGATATTCAAAGATTCCTTAAAATATATATTAATATTTATTCTGACGTAATAATCTTCCCTTTAGAATTCTAAATCCTTATTCTAAAGTAATCCCAAACATTTTAGATAATTACAATTTTTTATTGTCTAAAAATTCATAAGCAATAATAATTTAATTAAGAAAAAGTGTTTGTCTCATTAATATGTTTTGAGAATGAGGCCAAATATTAACTATTTCAGACCAGAGTTATGTTATTGCAGTGAATTAATTAATTGCATATTAAATTAAAAGGGGTATATTTTTATTAATCTTAGAATTTTACCCTCATCATAATAAGAATTGTTCCTCTATTAAATAATTCTATTTTTTATTTTTTAAAAGTGTCATGCAAGCTGTTATGATTTAAAGGTTCAATCGTAAATAATGAAGTATTTCTTATATAACAAATTCTTTTGTTTTCATTCAACAACACTAAGATTTTTACTTAAGGTACTTGGAATACAGAATAATCTTTTTCCTTCTTTACTTCTTTTTTTAGTTAAAGCTTCAATTTTTAATCCAATTCCAATATAAATAAGAACTTTTACTATCTATAATTTGAGTATTTTTATATTAATTTATTTTACTTATGTCTAAGAAGTTCAAATATTCGAATTATAAACCTTCCTTTTTCAATTACATTCTTTTCTCCTTTAATTTTTTGGTAATTCAATGATTAATTGCTATCAACTTTTTTAGAATAAATTTAAGATTTTTTAATAGCAGAGCATTATTGCAGATCATTTTAGAGCAATATTGTTTGCTTCTGTTGAAGTATACGATCCGAATTAAGGAATCAGAATTGAGTAAGGGTTAATCTCTTTTTTGGTTTAGAATTTCTTAGCTCATCAAATTCTCTACTTTTCCTCACATAATACTTATTCGAAATTTTTCCACACTATAAAGCAATTCAAAACTCTCTAAAATTCTCTGTTTATATGGAATGACTCTCAAATAAAGAAAATTTTTCTACTAGCTGAGATTCTCTTTATTTGTTTCTACCCACATTTTTAGTATTTGTCTCAACAAAACTACATTCAAATTCTAAATATTAATCAGGTATTATAAAATTTGGCTTTCATAACAGCTGCAAGAATGCTTAATTGCGCAATAACAAGATCAATACCACTCCTTGTTAGGGGCCATTCAGTTTATATGCTTTAAGTTATAGAGTAACGCTAGAAGTGATTAATTTAAATAAATCACTATATTTTTTAAATATATACTGACAAAATATTATTAAATCCATTAAAATACTAATATGATAATGTTTCATAATTTTGATAGTTAGCTTTTAATATAAGCATTCTAACCCAAACCCATTTCCTATGCAGCAAAATAAAAGTATTTAGCTTCTGAACTTCTACGTAATTCAATTAATGAATCAGCTAATAGAAATTAAAGATTAATTTACCTTTATATTTAGCTCTAAGAGCAGTAGGATTTATTTTAAGTGCTTGTTCAAAATTTGAGAGTGCATCCGAGTGTTTCTGTAATTTTTGTAGGATTAAACCTGAATAACAAATATCATTACCTTATTTTTCAAAAGTCTAATCAGATTTAGGGTTAATAGCTATTGCTTCGTTGTAACATTCAATTGCTTCCGAAAATTATTTCAATTCATATAATGCAATACCTATTTATTAATAGTTAACAATTAGTTACCCTTATTATTCCAAAAAATATCAGATTTAGGGTTAATAGCTATTGCTTCGTTGAAACATTCAATTGCTTCTTCATATTGTTTCAAAATTCTTAATGTATTCCCTAAAAAATTAATATTTAAAAATTAGTTACCCTTATTATTCCAAAAAGTATCAGATTTAGGGTTTATAGCTATTGCTTCGTTGAAACATTCAATTGCTTCTTCATATTGTTTCAAAATTCTTAATGTATTCCCTAAAAAATTAATATTTAAAAATTAGTTACCCTTATTATTCCAAAAA